TAAACCATGCCACACCAGCAGGAAATCCAGTGATTAGTGTCGGACATCTTCTGCAACAACCTTCTCCCTTTGCATCTGGCGACCTAACTCCCCAGACAGCAAAATAACTTGATTATTATGCGTAGGGCAGACCTTGAAGAAAAAAAAAGACTCATTGTAACACCAAAAGATGAACTGAAGGCTTTATATTATGGCAGCATTCACCAACTTAAATAAGGAGACCGTCCAGGAGAGATGCAGGAGGTTCATAAAAAAAATGGAACTGTAGTTGAAGCCAATGCCGATTTTATTCAATAAATTTTATCTTTAGTATTTGAAGATATTTTGTGTAATTTTGTTAAATATATCTGTTAAAATAAGATATCAGTCCTATCTTCATTTTTAGGTAATTTAGACTACCATTTATCCATCGCATTCTCTCTCTCCCTCCCTCTCTCTCTATATATATATATATATATATATATATATATGGAAAAACGATACATACAAGTGTTATATATCCGTACAATTTTAGGAAAATCCATGCCAAACTGTAAAAATATTTCGTTTAACGCGTTTCGTCCTTTCCAACTTCATCAGACTAAATTGATATTTACTTTGATGGTGAATAAACATGCGCATTTAAATTTTCAACGTCCTCTCGCTTTCACGCGCATGCGTAGTCGCATCAACGTAAACATCACTTCAGTCCGATGAAGTCCTAAAAGACGCATTGCGAAGCACGAAAAAATAAATAAATTAAGATGAAAGGAAAACTTATTTTAATCGACGCGTTTAAATCCTCTGAGGGACTTTATCAGTGTAAAAATTGTAAGCATTTTATTTGTAACAAGTATTTATAAATAAAAGTAAAAATGTTCGTCTTTCAACATTTTTAATTTTTACAAACACTCGTAAATATTCGTCAGGTCAATGCTGACATTTCTAGGTAAATTATGGATGATGCTAATTGACGTAATGTAATGTCTAATAAACAAAACTGAGTAACTGATTAATTGCTAAGATTTCATTTTTTCATGTAATTCGTATTTATATTAGTTTAGTTTGGGATTAATTTAAGTATTATATATTTTAAATAAAAGGTGCAAATAATTTAACCATGTTCTTTTGATTCTTAACATTTTTATAGTCATATATTTTTATAGGAAAAGAAGTAATTCTTCCGATACAGAGGATTTGAAAAAATTAATAAGTTACTTTTCTGTTTAATAAGTGTGGCATTCTTTAGATCAAAGTTGTAAGGTTTTTTATTTCTATTTACGACTAATGCATTTGATAAATTAAATGTTGTGTATAAAGTCCTTCTTGTGTTCATATATTTTTTCTTATATGACATGCGTGATACAATGTATCTTAGGTGGTCATATATCTTTCGATACATGACTGGTGAGGCAGATATTTTTACCGCAGTGGCTGCCATTTCTTTCCGCAGTAGACCAGTTGAAATATTTACCCATTTTTGGGAGCGAAGAATATTTTCATACCTTTCCCATATTAAGTGAATATAATGGATTAATACTGGAATTCGAACTCAATTCTCATAGTCCTCATTCGAGCCGGTATCCATTACTCCATTTGTTCCTCCCACATTTTTTTTTTATATCTTATATATATATATATTATTAAGGTGTTCTATATATTTATGGGATAAATTCTGCTCAATATCAGAGATAGAGCGTGTGTAAATATAAAAGTGAACATTGAAATCAACATTTAGAAGGAACAGGCTGTTTCATGCTAGACACAATAGTCAGGCCGATATTTAACAAAGGCCACGAGGAATGTATGTTTTAACAAGGCTGAAAAAACATGGGGTTTATCTGCCCGTACGCTCGACCAAAAATATTCCCTTAGAACCCGCATAAACGGGTTCAGGGGCTAAATATATAACCGGACGAAAAAGTTGCCTCTCGGCAAAGCCTCCGTTTCCTCTCCAAGGGGTGCAGAGAGTCCGACAAAGTCGCATTAAAATCTTCTCGGCTATTTATATATACGGGTCAGTGGTGCATTGTGGGTAGTCTATTTTGGCGCATATTTTGGCGGTTATTTATTTATTTATTTATTTAGATTATTTTTCTTGTTTTTATTTATTTTTTTTTTTTTTTTTTTTTCTATTTTTATTTTTATCTTATTAATATATTTTTAAATTTTCGGTGTTTTATTAACGTAGTAAAAATCTGTTTATATCGCTTATTTAATAGTTTTTTTTTTGTTTGGGAAGATAATTAAAAAAGAATATTCAATTTTGGGTTGATTGCTGTAGTTTATTCTAACAATTATTTTGCTGGGAGCAGTTTTTAATTTGTTTCTTACTTCATTTATTTATTTGGATTGATTACTTTTTACTTGTTTTTTTTTAACGGTCAGTTCATCAGGATCGGTTTGTTTATTTATTTGGATTAATTTAGATTAATTTATTTTAAAACAAAATTTTTTTTATTTATTTTATTGTATATTTTTTATTTAATCTTTTAGGTTTTCGATTTTTTAAATGACGTAGTAATTTTTTATCGTTATATAACAATTATGTTTTTTTTTTCCGATTTTTGGTTTGATTTTTATAGTCTAACTAATATTTTTTGTCTTAATGATTTGTTAATTTGTTTATTATTTACTTTATTTTTTCGTTTATTTAGTTTTTTTTTTTTATTTATTCTTTTTTCTTTATTTATGTTTTGTTATTTGTCATTTGTTTAATTTTTTTTTTTATTTTATTTTTTTTTATTTTTTTTTTTTTCGTTTTCGATTTTTAAGTAAATAGTAAAAATTTGTTTTCATGTCTGCATTTTGAGATGAGCTCGGATCGTTTATTTAAGAATTTATGTTGGTCTGGGAAAGTAATGATAGCTATTTTTTCCTCCAAGCAAAGTTTGCAAGTTTCGGATTGGTTGTTGTAGGCTGATGATCTTTTCCTTATTTTCCCAGATATTTTTGGTGTGATGTGCGTTTTGTTTTTAATTTCCCAGATATACTTAGAAAGCATTGTACTGTTCGCATATTTACTATTTGTGAAAGATGTATTGTGAGCATAATTTCTTTGTTTCCAGGGTCTTTCAGTTATACTATGTATACTTTTTCTTCATTATATGGTGATTTTATCGTGGCTTAGTATATTACGTTGTTTTGTAAGCAATTACCGTTTAAGGGAGATTCATTTTTTATTCTACAGTTACACGTGGGTTTAATTTGTTCGTGTGGTTTCCTGTTGTGCTTTTTTATTATTCGTGTCGTGTTCTTGGTGCAACTGTAGCTGATTTTTACTGTGTTTTTGTTGAATATTTTGTGTAGGATGCATGATTCCGGGAAGTGTTTGTGTAAGAGTTTGAAGAATATTTTTCCTACGTTTTTTTTTTCACGTTTTTGCTGTACGGTAGGTTAAACCATGTGATATTTCTTTTCCTGTTGGCCTTTTTTGTGTTCTGTGGTGAGTATATGAGTTTTGCTGGGAATCCACTATCTTTTAGGGCTGTTTCGTATTATTTCTTAGCTTTTTTAAATATGGATTCATTGAAGGAATTCTCGAAAAGCATATACATACATACATACATACATATATATATATCCCTCAGAATAATTATTTTTATGGATATTTTTGCTTCTGATTATATACATAATTGTTTTGGATGTGGTTGTAATTATTTGGGATATTGTTAAGATCAGATAAATTGTTTTGGATAATAGATGTTAAAGAGTTAGTATGTAGTATTATAAATCTGTTTATATCTAGTTTATTGTTATTGTTGTTAATAATGTTATCTTTTTTGTGGTTGTATATTTTGCATGAGTTTCTTTTAGCATAGCATATGAAATAATAAGGATATTGGAGGTTTTTGAATGTGTTTTCTATGTATATTTCTTCTTCGGGTAAATTATTTGTCTTGTCACTGGTTATTAATAATGGGCACACAGAGAGTGTCATTCATGGTACACAAGCGTTTATCGCTATAATCCAATGATGAAATATATGTCACATTTTATCACATTGTTTCAGGATATTCTTTAATCCTATGCTGGATTCTCTTTGATATTAATGTTGGTTAGTTGATTCGTTTTCTACGGCATATCAACCCTTAGCAGGTTATTTAAAGCCAGAAATTATTTATAGATTGTAAGTATTTTTTTTTAGATAATAATAGTTTAGTAATAGAAATCTTACTAACTAACTCATACCTGGGAGGAAAAGAGGTGGATTCATACCTTTCCCAAATGCGATATAAGGAACTTGGTATGCGGCATTCTGATTAATATTTCTGAGTCATTATCCATTGCACCACCCGCGCATCCAAGCTTACCCCACCTGGTCTTCCCAAGGCTCGTCGTTGCTTAACTTCGGTCATCGAAGGGGAATTGTTATTAAGGATATACAGTTTATCTGTCATATATGACTGATACCTATGAAATCGAATGCTGGCGTCAAGAGTCATCTTAGTGGACGTGGACGTTGGAACACGACGGAAGGTATGTTATTCTTTCAAATGACATTAAATCTGAAAAATTATTTTATATAAATTTTAAAAATCAACACAATACACACACTTGCTTCAAAAAAAAGAATATGCGTGTGTGACTTTCAGTGTGAATAGGAAAAATTACGATATTCCCTTTGGTTTTATCAGCTTAATGTAAAGAAGAAAGACAAAACAGATAGATACGGAACATATTTAGATAGTGTTGTGGTAGGATCCACCTAATTTGCATAGTGGAGTACCGACCATATAAATATGGTTGGTACCGGGAAGTGAGGGAGGAATCAAGAGATTCAATCCAGAGACTCTGCCCGACTGCGACTAAGTCAACACATTCTCCAGGAACGGTCTTCCCAAGAATATACAAAAGACTATATGTAAATATTGTGTACACTTTCTTGTTTCAATACATTTTGTTCTAAGTACATTTTGTGTTGTATTATTATTCCATGCATTAATCAAGTTTCAACAGATAGATAGATAGATAGATAGATAAGGAACATATGTGAATATACAGACAGACAAAAAACATATTTAGATAGATAGATAGATAGATAGATAGATAGATAGATAAGGAACATATGTGGATCGATAGATAGACAAGAAACATTTACCTAGATAGATAGATAGATAGATAGATAGATAGATAAGGAATATAGATAGATAGATAGATAGATAGATAGATATATCGTGTGTATGTAGGTGTATAATAGTATCCGAAACAAAAGTGATGATAAAACGAAATGGATTTTTTTTAAAATTAAAGACGCGTTTCGCCGCAGAAAAGCTTAGCTTATATTCTCTTAGACTTCATCAGTTCAAATGTTTTTCTACTTTTTTATTTCAATATATATATATATATATATATATATATATATATATATATAAATATATATATATATATAAAAGATGATAAGAATAATCAGTAGAATAATCATGAATTAATGTCGTGGGTTTATTTTAAATCAAAACATAAAATTTTTTTTTTTTTTTACAACATTCTCATGCCTTGCTAGATTTCGATAAACGAAACATGAGAATTCTTCCTGGAAAAAAAGAAAATGATCGACCTTAAGATTCATAAAGACAAATAAAAAACAGTCACAATAATCGGCACATGTGTTTGATTATTTTTCTAAGTTTTCAGTTGCACACAAAAAGAATCACACTTCTAAACACAAATAATCAGTGGAACACAATCATACATTTAACTAAATTCACACACACAACATACACACACACACACATATATATATATATATATATATATTGATATTGATATATATATTAAACTTTACTCCTGTGTGTGTGTGTGTGTGTGTGTCGATGTGTTTTTTGTGTTATGATCTTTAAAAGAACCCTGGTAGAAAAACTAAAAAATGATTCCTTGCATAATCGGAAGAAAAAAAAAAGACGTATAGGTTAGTAAAAAGAAAGAAGGAATGTTAATTAAAATTGTATTGTCTATAAATTCTAATTTCAGCTCTTTATTTTGGTGTTCCATATGTTTTCAATAATTTGTTTAAATCTCAAAAAATAAATCACAGGGGAAGCCTGAAGAATGCATCGGCTGAAAATCGGATGAAATGTAGAGATAATTAAAAGCAACAAGGCTGAGAATAGCATTCAGAACGAACGACAATGTCTTATCACAGAATATTAAGCAAAGAAGCTCGAAAAATGCATCGCCCTAACTGTAATAATAAAACCAACGAGGATGAGTATATTAGTACTAACACTTTGCGTCACGGCTATGAAAGTTGCTGAAAATAGGAAAGGATAAAGAATACATCAGTCGAAATTCAATGATGAAACAAAGAAAGATGAAAATATTGCTTCGAACAATTGGCATCAGAATCAGAATAAAGGCTGGAGAATAGTATCGGTCGAAATTTAATGATAAATCAAACAAAGATGAATATAATAATCCGAACAACTTGCATAACGTTGATAAATTGTGAATTAAAAAAAAACACATTATGAGTGGCTGAAGAACGCATCGGCCGAAATTTAATCATAAAACAAATAAAAATGAGATAATCCGTCAGAACAGTTTGCGTAATAATGATAAAGTCTTCTCTGAGATTTTCATTAAACTGGAAAGGCTGAAGAAGGCATCGGCTGAAATGTAAAACCACTAATCATTATTAAATTAGACTGGCAGGTCCGAACAGTTTTTTTTAATGCATTATTGTTCACAATAGACTTTTCGTTTAACATAGCTAAACAAGGGTTAACTGCCTTCCAAATACCAATCAAATGCTTTGCTATGAATGTAGAAATAGCAAAACTGTATTAAGTGTGGATAATTATTAGGAAATAACTGTATTGAATAACTTGTCGAAAAATTGGGGGCTCTGTTTTATGTAAACCTGAATTTTTTTTTTTAATAATTACGTCTATTTTAATATAAAATACAATAATTATTTTCTATTAGTAAATGAAACGTATGAGAAAAAACAAACCACATAAACCAATAATATAAAGGGAGATAAATCAAACAATTTAGATGGAAAGAAATAACCGGATAAAATAAGACAGCATTTGTGAGTAGTTATTCGTATTTTAAATTAAATATTTTTCTGTTTTATTTGTTTATTAACTTTTATTCAATTCATCAAGAACAATATAGATATTACAATTAAAGATACTTTCTGATCATAACTCGTATATCTGAGATATAACAATATTTCATATATATATATATATATATATATATATATATATATATATTTTTTTAAAAAAAATATGATTCCTTCGCTTCATAAGAGTTCTCATGTTTTTCTAAAATTTTAGGTAGAAACCATCCAAATAATTATTAAAATTAGGTTAAATTGATAGTTGAAGATGAAACGGGACGAAACACCTCAATTCAACTTAATTTTAATGATTATTTGGATGGTTTTTTGCTTTAGTTTTTTTGAAAACATGAGAACTTTTTATGTAGCGAAGGAATCATATTTTTTACATTTTTTTATTTTATAATAAAGTTCTACTTATGTATGGAGCACTGTCTTCTTTTTTTAAAAACAAAATATGAAAACTCTGAATTATTTCAACGTGTTTTTTCTATTTTCTGCATACCTGCGTCTTTATATATATATATATATATATATATATATATATATATATATATATATATATATTGTATATTTGGGCAGCTATAACTTTTTAGCTCAAAAGTTTAATTGAAAATAAATTGAAAGGTTTTTATTTGTTTTTAAATATATAATTTCTCATCTGTTCGTAGAAATGGAAACGATCAGTATAAATATAGTTAGACATAATTTTGCATTATTCAATGAAACGTATATATATATATATATATATATATATATATATAATATATTTTATATGTGTTCCAAATGTGTTATGTGGAGAGAAATTTTTTCAATTATTTCTGCAGGTGTAGTTTCGCCCACGCCCAAAATATTAACTTAAACCGAATCTGATCAAATCGTGATTTTCAAATGGCTGCCATGCATGACAACAATCTCGTGCAGATATATCTGAACTGTTAAAATATATAAAGCCACTTTCTACTGGTCGATGGCTGATTTTTTATGTTTCAAAGCATGCTTATGCCGCAGCGAAGACGATGCTTCATTAAAAAAAAAATCGCCGATTTTTGTGGCAAAATAACAAAGAGCTGTACCCGACAAGGGAAACCACATCACTCGAGGACTTCCAACAGCATCAACAACTAAAATGGATAGCTCATGTAACTCAAAGACAGAATAATGATATAATCAAGATTCTGACGATCCACACGAACCCCCAAAAAAGGCAAGGCAGGAAATTCCACATCGATATCAAGGGCATCAACATCAACTGGATTTTTAGAAACCTACTTTCCTAGAAAAATATATTTTTGAAGAAAATGTATATAAATTTTTAAAGCAACAACACATCTAAATAGTAGGTTAAAAATGCCACATGTTTCATTAAAAGAAAAATAGCTAATATTACCATTACCATGACGGAAGTAAATATACGCTAAATTCTATATTCTATAGGATATATTTTTTTATAAGAGGTTGTAATATACAGAAAAAGTATTCAAACCTAATTTAAAATGTTTAACTATTCTTTTTTTCAATTTAAAATTGTTCTCCTGAAGAGAGTCTTTTGTAACCATAAAATAAAAATATATATATATATATATATATATATATATATATATAAAGTGATATATATATAAAAAAAACACTAAAAAACAAATAGTAGGCAAGTCAGGTCAAAACTTGGATATTTTTTAAAGTGCTCAATAAACAATACACAATTCAGAAAAAATAAATTTTTTAGAGCGATAATCATAAATTTGTATTAGAAAAAATCCATGCGCAAAAAGTTACCAAATATTCCTAATCTTTTTTTATATATATATGTATAATATATAATATATTAAAATTTTGCATTAAAAAAGTAATTAAAATAAAAATCTAACTTTCATTTTTACAATTTAATAAAAGATTTTGGACGAAATATTTAGCCCAATATGCATTAATATATATATATATATATATATATATATATATATATATATATATATATATATATATATATATATATATATATATATATAATATATATTCAATTCATCCTTAAAAACTCCTAGAGTTCCGCCATATATGCGAACATCATATTTAAATAGAAAGATTGTGCTGCCAAATTTAGTGTTGACTGGTTCACGTGTTGGCCCGGTCACACTCTGTATTTCATCTGAAGGTTCTGGAGGCGCTTTTTGAATCAATTCCCGCAAGCCTTAAAAACCACTTTAACAACGTTTTTTTTGCTGGGACTCAAACATCATCTGCCTATAGTTCCTTTTATATATATATATATATATATATATATATATATATATATATATATTTTTTCCACCTATTCTTATTGTACATTTTTTTGTTTTAATTTTGAATCTCCCGTGGAAGCCTGAAGAGCGGGATATTAAACCGGTTATTTCCCCACCCCTTTTGTGTGTTTTTTTTTTTATTATTTAATATTGTTTTAATATGTCTTGTAATATTAAATTTTATACTTTTTATTTCGATCATTAAATTTTGTACCTACAAAATATCTTTAAATATATATATATATATATATATATATATATATATATATATATGTGTGTGTGTGTGTGTGTGTGTGTGTGTGTGTGTTCAAACATGTTTCATATTATAATATAGACATATTATGTCTATTTTCCTTTCTAGATCTCTAATCAGTTTCTCGTTTATAAGATGAAATTCATCAAGTAAGGCGACGTATTTTTTTTTAATCGAAGTACTTTCGACATCGAAAATGATCCTGAGGTGTGAATTGCAAAGAAAAATTTATTGTAACTGCGATCATTGTGATGGTGATTTTTTTTTAAACAGACGTGAACGCGCTCTGTTATAATTATTTTAATTTTTTTATTTATCCGTTGTAGCTATGGACATTCATTCCTGTCTATCTTCACAATACAGGAAAATACTTGTTGACAGTACCAATATACGACACCAGAAAAATTATAAACAAAAACTTCAAATTCTCGATCCTCTCTATATAAAATCAAACAAATTAACACTCAACAAAAAATTATTACGAGTCTTTGTTTCAGAAGAAAATGATTGAAGTGCATTTGACAAAAATTTAATCCCATTTTGTATATCTACCAATTTCTGGTTACCTCCCTTATTGGAATGCTTATTTTGTAAAAAGCTTCCAGTAAGAAAATGCAAGAAAATCTTAATAGCAATGCCTTATCAGTCGTCTTCAATGAAATATGTATAAGAGAGAGAT